GTGACCTCCTTTATATCGTAATTCAATATGGTTACAATCATTATAGTAAGTTGTAGCCCTAACATAGCTGCCATTAATTCTAATCTGGGGATGCTCATGGATTTTAGTGGCGCTACTCTGGTTTTTGATGCTATCAATCGCACTGTCTTCTGTTCACCATCAGAGCTTCTTAAATATACAACTGCTGCATACGCATCGTTTGAAGCATCAACGAAAGTGTGAATTTTTTGATCTTTGTCAGCAGTAAATTTTATACATCTTGGAACTTCTAATTTCTGTAGATTTTGTAAACCACTCAACCAGTCCGCTACACCGTTTGCTACATTTTGTGGTACAAGTTCATCCCAAGATACTCCCAGTGTCCAGAGCTCCTGGAGCATTATCTTTGCAGAAATAATCACTGGTGATATAAAACCAAGCGGATCAAACAATGTCGCAATTTTACTTAAAATATTTCTCTTTGTCATGTTTTCTATAGACCCCCCTGGTCCCCTGAAAACAAATACATCACTTTCAGCTTTCCACATTAATCCTAATGTTTTTACTGATGGCAATTCACTTTCATTTAATTTCAGTTCTTTGGCTCTCTGGTCTTCAGGTATCGCCTCCAAAACTTCCTTAGAATTAGATAACCATTTTCTCGCCTTCATACCAGCCATCCCCCATAACTCCATTAGTTGATTGTACAACTCAACCGCTGTTTTCACATCATTCACTGAGTCCATGCTATCATCCATATATGTACTCATTAATACTGTTTCTGCTGCTAGAGGATACCACCGTTCAAGTAACTTAGCATTTTCTTGTGCAACCTTCTGGGAAATAAATGGCGCCACATTAACTCCAAATACTAATCTGTTAAATTCATATACCTCTGGCTCTTTACTCTCATCTAGATCTCGCCATAAAAACCTAAACATTTGCTTATCTTCATTAGCCAATTCTATTTGTAGATACATCTCAGATATGTCACAGACCACAGCTACTGAATTTCTTCGAAATCTCAATAACACATCGAATAGATTATTTTGTAATTTTGGTCCGTTATGTATGACATCATTTAGTGACACTCCACGATACGAAGCAGAAGCATCATACACTACCCTGACTTTGGTTGTTTCTCTATCTAGCTTAACTACAGGAAAGTGTGGAAGGAACCATTGCTGTTCAAGATTATGTTTTTCTTCTGGATTCACCTTTCTTATATACTCTTTTTCCCGATAACTATCCACGACCTCTTGGTATGCAGCTCCCAAGACTGTATCTTTTTTCAAACGTTTCTCTAAATTTGTGAGTCTCTTCTCCGCCATTTCGTAGTTGGTTTTAGGCATTTCTTTTTTCTCATCTTCCTTCCATGGAACCTTGACTTGGTACCTTTCTCCATTACTACACATCGACTCTGTAACCACCTTAACTGCCAGCTCTTCCTCTTTAGTATACAATTTAACGTCACTTTTAATTAAACCTTCATTCTCTACTTCCCAAAACTTGCGCATAACCTCCTCAGTTTCTTGTAAACTCAATACATTACTTTTATATGTTTTTGCATGCAGTAGTGTAGCACGCGAAGCCTTGTTTACCCTACCAACACAAGTCCAGCCAAGGGGTGTACGTCTGGCTATTGGTTCTCCTGGCTTTCCGTGTCTTTCTTCTAAGGCAGTGTGTAGCTGAGGATGGTCAACACCTATCAATATATCCACTACTTGCCTTTTAGTATTAATTACTGGGAATTCTATGCCTTTCAAATGATCCCAATCTTTGCTTATTCTGTTCCACTCTGGGTGTTCTAATTTACCTGTTACATTATTTGTAGTCAGTGCATCCAGTGTGTATTTTCTCGATCTATTGTCTACTGATGATACGCTAAATGTAACTGGCCTTGTAATAAACCTTTCTTCTTTACCATTCAACAAACTAACAACTATTTCTTCACTTTCCCCATGGAGCCCCAACTCCCCACACAGGTCTGTATTTATGTACCTTTGCGTACTACCATCATCTAACAAAGCATTTACCTGCATATGTTTACAACCTTTGCTTACTATTATAGGTATAGTACGTAAGGCAACTGAATGACTTTGATTTAACATCGTGATAGGCTTATTTGTTTGACCCCCGGTACTTGTTCTCTCCCCTTCTATGGGAACCTTAGAATTTCCTACACGTTTATCATTATTTCTTGTCCTATGTAACAATCTATTATGGTCGCTTTGACAACCATTAATACCGCATGACATTATTCGTGTACAAGTCTTAGACATGTGATTACCTAAACACTTGAAGCACAATTTTTCTTTGCTGGCTAGATTCCATCGATCATCTACATGTTTATCTTTGAACTCAT